GGGGGAACACTGAAGAGAAGGCCAACAGAGAGAAAAAGCCTTCCCCTGGAGCTGACGCCCTGAATTTGGACTTTTAGCCTACTTTAACTGTGAGGAAATAAATTTCTCTTCATTAAAACCATCCACTTGTGGTGTTTCTGTTATAGCAGCACTAGATGACTAAGATACCTGGCTAGAAGGGGCAGAGATAGCACACAGTGCTAGGTATTTAGGAGACAGAAAAAGAAGGTAGGTATAGAGGGAGGAGAAACAAAAAGGAAAAAAGAGAAAGAAATAAATGCTCCCAGGGATCCCACCGGTGCTGCTGCTCAGACTGAGGAAGTGTCTCCCAAGCTGCGCAGTACAGCCTGGCTAGAAGGGGCTCCCAAGCTGTGAGAAGAAAACAAACAATACAAAACAAAATGGCCCCAGGGATCCTACCAGCATGGTGGCGTGGACTGGGGAAGCAGTTCCCTAGCCGAGCGGCACTTCACAGCCTTTCAAGAAGAAGCAAAGATGGCATACCTAGCCAGGTGTTTGAGAGAAAGGATGAGGAAGTGGTGAAAGGCAGGGAAGAAACCAAAAGAAGCTGAAAAAAGCAACACCAGCAGCAAAGAAATGGCACTGAAGAAGCTGGCCAGTGTAGGTGGGCTGAATCCAAACAGCACGGAGCGTAGTGCCTTCCAGCTGGCCTAGTAACCATGGCCATCTAGGAATTGGCGGAGGCTGAGCAGTGGGAAGAAGGGTGAGGGATGTGAAAGCATATATCGCTGGTTACCAGGTGCTCTGTCTCTTGCTGAAACCTCTGTGAAGCTGTTTTCCCATACTCCCTGCACGCTGATCTCTGACAGGAGTCCACGGTGGCGAATCCATGCTGCGTTAGCTGTCAGGGGACCTCCACTCATATCTCTCCTTGCTGTCTGTTCTCTGTCAGTTTCTTATTCCATTCAGTGCTTGGCTGAATTCTGTGTCTCTTCACTGACACTTAGGGTTCCAAGATTCACATTTGTCTCTGTTTTACTTAGTTTTTTGGGTCTTTACTGTGGAAGGATGGTGTGTTGCTTCTGTCTATAGTGCCATGTTGGCTCTACCCAGTCACTGTGCTGTTTTTCACTGCAAAATGCTACTGTTTTCTGCTAGACAGCTGGTAATTGATAACTTCTTGAGAAACAGCACACAGCTTAAGGAGCAAAGAGCAACATTCTCCTGAAAAATTATCATTGGAGTCATTTTCATACAGTTTAGAGTATTTGTCTATTTAGTTATTTGTTCAACAAATATTCATTGAGTGCCTACTCTATGACAGGTTCTGTACTAGAAGCTGGGAAACAATGGGAACGGTAAGAGTCCTTGCCCTCATGGAAATTGCTGTCTAGGGAGTGATTGATATTTATTAAAAACTCACACAAGACCATGTAATATTACATTTGTGGTATTAAAAAGACAAGGAATATATTGTTATAAGGGCTTATGGTGAATGGATTGGACCAAGTCAGGGAATTCAGGGATGAGGAAGTATGGATTGAACTGTAGCCTAAAGGAACAACTAGGAGTTAATTAGATGAAACCAAAAGACCAAACCTGTTGCTGTCAAGTCAATTCCAACTCATAGTGACCCTATAGGACAGAATAGAACTGCCCCATAGAGTTTCCAAGGAGCAGCTGATGGGTTTGAACTGTTGACCTTTTGGTTAGCAGCCAGGCTCTTAACCACTGCACCACCAGGGCTAACATCTGTGACAGAGCAAACTGCATGTGTAAAGGTCCTATGGGCCAATTGAAGAACTTAAAGAATGTCAGTGTGTTTGAACATGGTAAGAGTGGCAGAGGGTGGTGGAAGGTGTAGCTCAACAAGTTAGAAGGTAAAGACCAGACCTTTAAGATTTAAGATTAGATTTTGCACGGATTAGGCCAAAAAAATACAGTCTAAGCAGGAGTGACTAAATTGAGGACTTTTTTATCATCTAGATTTTTTTTTTCCTACAGGCAAGACACTTTCATGGAAAATTATTTCACTAGCCAGCGGGACAACATCTTCCGAAATGTGGAGGTTCTGATTTATGTCTTTGATGTGGAGAGCCGCGAACTTGAAAAGGACATGCACTATTACCAATCATGCTTGGAAGCCATTTTGCAGAACTCTCCAGATGCCAAAATCTTTTGCTTGGTGCACAAAATGGATCTCGTACAGGAGGATCAACGGGACTTGGTAAGAAACAGAGTGGGTGCTGCACAAAATGGTTGACGTGCGTTGCAAACTTTTTTTTTGTAGCGTTATAAGTAAATTTGTACCATTCTTTTTCAGGAAAAAAAATCTCAGCATAAGCTTTCAAAATAAAGTTCTCTCATTTCTTTGTTTGTTTTTATTTATTTACTTTTTTAAAGGAGAACATTGTACCAAGTGCTTTAATGGGGCTTGGAGCCAGACCTCCTTGGCTTAAGATAAACTGGGATATAACACTCACCATGCCTTGGGCAGGTTTCGTTTTTTTTTTTTTTTTTTTTTTTTT